TTATTTGATGTTATTATTATTATTATTATTATTATTATTATCTAATTAATTAAAATTTTATCCATCCTCATCAAGAGGCTGAATCCGCCCCTGGAACCGGAACTTTTATTATATACGTCCTCTGACCGGACGTAGATCTACGTTCGGTCAGAGGATTGTTACTAGGTTTTTGCTCGGTATTGTTAGGTATTGTTTGGTAATAACGATGAATACCGCTCTATGAAGACCAATACCGAGTTATACCAAACAATACCGAGTTATACCGAGTAATACAAAAAAATACCGAAAAAACTTGATATTTTTTTGTATTACTTGGTATTGCTCGGTATAACTCGGTATAACTCGGTATTTTGTCTTCACATAATGATACTTTCTCGTTATTGTTGGTATTGCTCGGTATTTGATCGGTATTTCTCGTTTTGTGCGTGAGATTTTAGTGCCGGCCAAACGTAGCTCTACGTACGTTCACAAGATGTAATAAAAATTCTGACAGTGCATTAACAAAGGTCCATTTTTTTTCCTCTTTACTTTTTTGTAGGTAGTATTCTTTGGTTTATATTCATTGGTACTGTGTCTTTGTTTGCAATTCTTCTTCGCCATTGTAGTTCTTTTTCTATATGAGCTTCAATAACTGTGCTTTAGGGTATAATTGTTTGGGCTTGATAATTATTTTCCGACAGTTCGTTTGATTAATTTTATGTGTGGTAATCTTTATGACTTGGCTTTAGTTCTTTCAGTTCTGAGAATAGTTTGTTATTTCGGTTTATCTGTGTGAGGGTACTTTTGATCCCAAATGGTGGGGTTTTTCCCCTTTGATCTGGGTGAGGTATGCTATGTAAACTATGAAGGATATTCTACTGGCTATTTGTTGTAAAGTTTTTTTTTTTTGGTTTCATCACGATAAGTAGATGAGCAATATTTATAATTATAGTGTCAACCTTAATGAATTATGTAATGCTTCTCGATCTGCATTTATATATTGAGAAAAAAAAATCTTTGATAGTTGAAATATATTCGTTACATTTGTAGACTGGGTTGACTTAATCCTTAGAAATTAGTTTATCACTTTTTCCCGTCTTCCTATATTTTAAGCTTGAAATCAAAACTTCTTGTTAAAGAATTTATTGATTGTTAGGTGGTGGTCCGGCGGAGGAGCGAGGAGGCAAGAGTGATCTCCGATCTCTCTCTTGCTCGTTTGCTTGGAGCCTCACTTGAGGCCCTGAGCTCTGTCGGACCACCACTTGAGGCCCTCACCTCTGCCGAACCACCATTTGAGGCCTTGAGCTCCGCCAAACCACCACTTGAGGCCCTGAGTTTCCCGGACCACCGCCTGACGTCGTTGCTCCACCGGACCACCACTTGAGGGCCTGAGCTCCGTCGGACCACCACCACCTAATGCCAAACTTCTGTCGGACCACCATCTGAGGCCCAGACTTCCACTGGACCACCGCCTGAGGCCCGAATTTCTACCAGACCACCACCTAACGCCTGACTTCTGTCGGACCTCCATCTGAGGCTCAGACTTCCGTCGGATCACCACTTGAGGCCGGGATTTCCATCGGACCACCATTTGAGGCTCGGACTTCCACCATACCACCACCTGAGGCCCGAACTTCTGCCAGACCACCACCTGAGGCCTGGACTTCCGCCAGACCACCACCTGAGGCTCAGACTTCTGTCAGACCACCACCTGAGGCCTGGACTTCTATCGGACCACCACTTGAGATCCGGACTTCTGCCAGACCACCAACAGAGGCCCGAACTTTTTCCGGACCACCACCTGAGTCCCGGACGTCTTCCGAACCACCACTTGAGGCCCGAACTTATACCAGACCATCATCTAAGGCCCAGACTTCTGTCGGGCTACAATCTGATGCCTAGGGTTCTACCAGAGTACCGACCTACTACAACAATCTTTTTGACCCCAATCTTCGACAAACTAAGGTCTTTTGGACCTCTGTCTCCTGCCGACTATGGCCCTTTCAGCCTCTGTAGCCTACAACTGTCCTTTCGACCTACATCGTTAAACAATAATTTTCTGACCACGGTCTCCTGTCTACTATGATCTTTTCGACATCTATTCTATCAATTATGGTCATGTCGACCAAACATACATGTCTATGTTGATTATTGTAACTCTCAGCATGTAATGCGCTCTATATGATGTACATTTGTGACATTAAGCCAAGGCCTTCTCCCTAAGAAGGGTCTTATTTGTAATTAACTGCAAATACTAGTGGATTCATTCAAAGTAGGCCAGGCCCCATGATTTATCCTCCTTTTCAGGGGTTTTCACGTAAAAACTCTAGTGTCTCTTATGAACGCTACAACCTCTCTCTTATCTGCTTGTGTGTTGGATCTTCCTACAACGCTAAGACACTAAACTTTCTATTTCTCTACTGCCGTGAATACTCCAGGATGCAACAGTTTGGCGCCGTCCATGGGAACTAGTTCCCAACTGGGGGGCAATTTTTGCTCCAACCTCAAAAGGTCGTTCATGTCAACTTCCTGAAATCAGTTATTGCTGCATGCATTAATTTCATGGGAATCAAATTCGGACTGGGGGGAAACCTTTACTCCAACTATGGTCAAAAAGATCCCTCTAATACTTCTAAAACCAAGACAATATATCAGGAAACTCCCAGGAAATGCAAGGATGTTTCCGATAAATTTCAAACCACATATAGTCCCTATACTTAGGCAGGGTCTTAATCTCAACCTCAAAAAGAAAGTAACAACTAAAGATAAATCATTCTTCACATTTGATTCATGATACACACGGCATGCACCCCCTCCTAATCAAGGCAATATCGATCTCATGGGGATTCAATTCGACCTCTTTCATACAGATTAATGTTATTGAGCAAATGCTTTGACATACAATCTCAGATAGATCTTACATCCTTTGTGTATTCTCTCGACCTCTTCCACACAAGTTAACATCATCAAGCAAAGGATTTGACATGCAATCTCGGATAGGTCTTATATCCTTGGTGGATTCTCTCAACCTCTTCTACATAAGTTAACATCATCGAGCAAGGCTCTGACATACAACATCGGATAGGTCTTACATCCTTGGTTAATTCTTTCGACCTCTTCCACATAGGTTAATATCATTGAGCAAGGCTCTGACATACATTCTTGGATAGGTCTTACATCCTTGGTGGATTCTTTCGACCTCTTCCATACAAGTTAACGCCATCAAGAAAAGATTATGACATACAACCTCGGATAGGTCTTACATCCTTTGTGGATTCTCTCGACCTCTTTCACACAAGTTAATGTCAACGAGCAAGGCTTTAACATACAACCTCGAATAGGTCTTACATTCTTAGTGGATTCTCTTGATCTCTTCCACACACGTTAACTTCAGCAAGTAAAGGTTTTGACATACAATCTCGGATATGTCTTATATCTTTAGTGGATTCTCTTAACCTCTTCCACATAGGTTAACATCATTGAGCAAAGGCTCTGACATACAACCTTGGATAGGTCTTACATCTTTAGTGGATTCACTCAACCTCTTCCACACAGATTAACGTCATTGATCAAGGCTTTGAAATACAACCTTGAATAGGTCTTACATCCTTGGTGGATTCTCTCGATCTCTTACATACAGGTTAACATCATCGAGCAAAGATTATGACAAATAACCTCAGATATGTCTTATATCCTTGGTGGATTCTCTCGACCTCTTTCATACAGATTAACGTCGTCGAGCAAATGCTCTAACATATAACATCCGATAGGTCTTACATCCTTTGTGGATTCTCTCGACCACTTCCATAAATATTAGCGTCATCGAACAAAGGCTATGTCATACAAGCTTAGATAGATCATACATCTTTGGTGGATCCTTTTAACCTCTTTTATATAGGTTAACTTCGCCAGAATGTCATCGATCGACTTTCATCGGACTTCTACCCGGTGCCATACTTTTACCCGACATCAGACTTCTGCCAATTGTTAGACTTTCATCGGTCTTCTACCTGATGCCTTACTTCTACCCGACATCGAACTTCTGGCTGTCACTAGACTTTCATTGAACTCCTGCATGTCAAAAGACATTAGTTGGGCTTCTACCCGACGTTGAATTTATACCCGTCGTCAGACTTCTACCCTACATCAAATTTTTACCAGTCACCGAACATTCGTCGGGCTTCTACCTTACGTTGAATTTCTATCTGACGCCGAATTTCTACCCGTCAACAGTCCTTTCAATATCCCTCCTTACAACGGTCTTTCCAACTTCTATCCAATCAACTATGGTCCTGCCGATCAAACAGACATGTCTATGTTGATTATTGTAATTCCCACCATTTAATACGCTCTATATGATGTACATTTGTGACATCAAGCCAAGGCCTTAACTCTCCCTAAGAAGGGCCTCATTTGTAATTAACTGCAAATATTAGTGGATTCGTTCAAACTGGGTCAAGCCCCATATATGATTTTTTCTCCTTTTCAGGGGTTTCAACATAAAAACTCTAGTGTATCTTATGAACGCTACACTCTCTCTCTCATATGTTTGTGTGTAGGATCTTCGTACAACGCTAAGACACTAAACTTTATATTTCTCTACCGCCACGAATACTCCAAGACGCAACAACCCTATATTAGATAGAGATATCGTGAAAAAGATTTGGTTAGAAAGTATTAAAAATTATATTTTTAATTAGATTTAAATGAGAATTTGTCTCTTAATAGGATATTATGGAGAAAAATAATTCATGTAGTTGAGCCCACATAGTAGGATAAAGGCTTGTTATTGTTATTTTTGTATTTTCAGCTCATGAGCAGCGATTGTGAAGGAAAATACAACTTTGAGGGACTCACTTACATATCATAGAGTTTCTATGTATTTAAATATACAAGATGACTTATTTGTTTATTTATTTATATAATGCATAATATTTAAATAATAATATTATTATTTTGTATAAATTAATTTTATGATATCTTTGAGATATTTAAATATTAGAATGTTATATAAGTAAATATAAAATTTTAGTTATCAAAATTTTTTTAGTGAAGTTCAGCATAGGGGCATTTGTGCAATTGGCAAAAAAGTTGAAAAAATTCTTCTAGCGGTATGAGTTCTCACTTTTAACACTTTCATAATCCATGATAAAATTAATTACTTTGCATGGAAAACCTAAGCTGATTTGCGTTTAAAATTCATACTAAGGTCGCATTTGGGACTACTTTTTTACTATTTTTTAAAGTAACTTTTTAGTATAAAAATTAAAATTTTTATACTAAAAAGTTATTTTATGAAGCAGCAAGAAAGACGCCCTAAACATTTTTTATAAAGCTATTTTTTAGTATAAATATTTTTTAAAAGCAAAGAAAAAGTAATGGTTTAAAGTTGCTTCACTCGGTATAACTTTTTTACTACTTCTGAAAGCAACTTTTTAGTACCAAAATTTTAATTTTTATACTAAAAGTTGCTTTAAAAAGCATAAAGAAAGTCGTTCCAAGGCTTTGTTTGAGATAGTTTTCTTATTATTTTTAAATCATTTTTAGTTCAAAATTTTTTTGAACTAATTAATTTTGTACAATAAAATTGTATTAGAAAGTATTAAAAAATTTGTCCCTATTAAAGCTTAAGTGAAAATTGATGAGGACATCTGACCGTGAAAAGTTTATTAGAGAAGAAGCTGAAGATCTACGGTCATGATTGGACTACTTTATTTTTAGTTATTATTTTTATTTTATTTATTCATGCATCTTTTTCATTTTTACCCTCACTTGAGGGGATAGCCTTACGTGATACCAAGGAGGCACTTCATTCATTTGATTTATTATTATATTTTGGCTATTTATAGCCCCTTGGCCGACCCCTCCCTCCCACCCAACCATCGGCCCCACCACCTATCCTAGCTGCCAACCATTTTTTCCCCTCCCTTTAATTCAAACTTTCAAACTTAACATTCCTAAATTAAACTCTTTTTAAATTTGTAAGTCTTTTAAATTCATATTCAAATGAATTTGAATTTGAAAGTTATTTCATAAAATAAGGAAAATTATTTTAGGAAAGCCCTCAATTCATGTTTTATTTGAATTTTAAATAGGAGTTGATTTAAATATACTTTCCTATTTAAAAGTTCTAAATTTAGAATCACATAAATCCTCCCATTAAATCTTTTCCTCTAAGCCTAGCCGCCGGCCCCACCTTCTCTCTCCACCATTATTTCCTTTCCAACTTGGGTTCCCAATCACATCAATCATCAAGGTGCCCCCACTCCCTTTCCCTCTTTATTTTGGATATTCAAATTCATTTTTTTCCAGTTAATCTCCCAAATTAATGCTGTCATTAAATCTCAATCCATATTAATTGATTCTTGATTTAAATTGCATACTCCAATTGCTGCCCCAATATTAATTTGACCTCTAAATCTGGAATTACTCCATCCCCCTTCCCTCTCCTTTGGGCCGACCACTTAGCCTCATCACCTTCTCTATACTCCTTCCCTTATGCTTGATATTTCACCTAAGGAGGAAGAAGTAGATCCTCCTCCCTTGATATTTCACCTAACGACGACAAGGAGTGTTTGTTCCAAAGCAAACCACATATGAACATCACCCCGATTCTGAAGAACATCGAAGCACAAGTTCAAGAGCTTGATGGAGTTCCACATCATGATCAGAAACTTAACGAAGGTGAACTCTCTTCCAATCCTTTTTCCTTCTAACTTCTCCTCGATCATTGTATCATTAAAAGTTATGAAAGCTTCTCCGCTTAGCCGTTATGATGAGTATGTATGAGGGATCTTAGTAGTTACTAGTCTTATTGTTAATCAAGGAATTTCTTTTGAAACCCCTACGATAAGCAACGTTAGATTTCCTTTGATTATTTTGTGCTCCAAATTTTATCTTCTAATCAATTGCCTACGCCTAATCATTGCTTATTTATTTTCAATCTATTGTTTAATACGTAGGAAGTTGAATAATTGTTATTGCTCCGTCACAAAGCATGTAATTTCAAAGTTAATACAGTTGTCTATGCATGTAGTTCTACATCAAAAACTGTTTTAAAAAGTATTAAAAAAGCTGTCCCTATTAAAGCTTAAGTGTTTAATTAAGACACGCTTATAGAAATCAGAAAACTATTTACATAAAAATTTAGCCAACAGTTTCTGCCCCACTGATGTTGAACGCTGAATTGTTTTATTAGATGTTGATTAAACAGGAATATCTCCTAGTAAAGTGAAGCTAATTAGGAGTCTGTCATATACAATATGAAATCAAGAGCAAAAAAAATTTCATATCAACGTCTCTCATAGAATTCCTCAAAGTTTCTTCTCTAAATTCTGTTCGGCTAATCATTCCTTGTCAAAGGAGTCTAATCAGATATTCTTAAATATACCAATGAATCATTAATGCTTAGTCACTTTCTCATCTCTTGTGTTTGATGTGAAACATCTTAGCTAAAGTTTTCTTTAGGAGTAATTCTATCTACTTTGTTACATGCTTTTTAGTATATATGTTCTTGCTAGCTTATATATACAATGTTGTAAGAAGACGAGAGGATGATAAATATTATATGATTTAAAGCTTTGAGCTTAGTAGGGGTGTCAAATTTTTGATACGACCCGAATCTGATCTGAAAAAAATCCAGGTTTTGATCAACCCGGTTAGCAAATGTGTCGGGTTCGGATTCAAAAATCTGACCCGATTTGAGTTTTGGGTCAATGTTGTAAGAAGAAGAGAGGATGATAAATATTATATGATTTAAAGCTTTGAGCTTAGTAGGGGTGTCAAATTTTTGATACGACCCGAATCTGATCTGAAAAAATCCAGGTTTTGATCAACCCGGTTAGCAAATGTTCGGGTTGACCCAGAAACCCAAAAATGCCCCGAAAACAATTCTGCGCTGGTCTGCTGCCCACCATGCCCGAGAAATGACTCGACGCGTAATTGATTGCCTAAGAAATAGAAACAAATTGTTTCTTTTTTTTCCTATGATTCTCTCTTATTATTTATAGAGTATATATCGCTTGAACTATAAACATAAAAAGTATTTAAAAGAGGTCCATATTTTCCAACTTGTGAATTTGGCCCAATGCTTACATAGCAAATTGCAAAAGAAAATGAAGTGCCATCTGCATATTATAATTGATGTATCTTCAAAAAATTATCTTGATTGGGCGCGAATCTCGAGGCAAAATCGAGATGCAAACTTCAAAAATCAAATCCAGGATCACATGAACTCCGATTTCAGTAAACTTATAGTCAAACTGAGCATCTCAGAAATACGAACTCAGCGACACCAAATTCGAGTCAATCCGAGCCCAAATGAGTCCAAAGCAATCACCCAAAGTGCTATTGGAAAGTTTAAACCATAATTTGAGTTACCAAACAGTTTCTAAATATGACGTTTTTATAGTAGAATCGAGCGGCTCGACGAGAAAAATCCAACCAGCCCATGATCGCCAAATTCCGACATCATTAGGACCTTCAAATGTCTAACGAACGGTGAACGATCAAGGGATTCAATATCGACCGTCCATCCGACCACTCCCTATTTACCCCTAATCTCTCACCTATTTACAAGCAATGCCACTCCATAATATCTATAAATAGACTCATCATTTCTCATGAGAGGGGACCCAAGGAAGAAGAAGAAGAAGAAGAGAACAGAAGGATAGGAGGGAATAACTCATCCTCGACAACCGCCGGAGTTCTGTCCGACGCCGTAATTCTGATGGATGGTTGAGCGACGCCGAAATTCTGCCCAAGTGACATCAGAATTCTGACAGACACCAAAGTAAAGCTAGAATTCTGCCAAACGCCAAAGTAACACTAGAATTCTGCCCGACGCCCAAGTGACGCCAGAACTCTGCCTGATTTCCAAGTGACATCGGAATTCTAAGCGATTCTGAATTTGGCTCGAATACACAATTTGTTTATAATTGGATTTCAATCTAGAAGTGAAGCATTGTAATCTGATCGTCCTAAATTTTAAGGACGAGTCAGCCTCTTGTACCTCAAACAAATACTAGTGGAATTATTTCAACTGGGCATGGCCCCGTGGTTTTTTCCCTTTTCAGAATTTTCTAAGTAAAAATCATGATGTTATTTCTTTCCTGTTTGTGTGCTAGATATCCGTACAACACTGAGATGGAAATTTTCTAACACTCTTGATCTATTTTTATTAGCTTTGAAGGCTATGGTAGCTATATTTTGTTAGTGATCTTAATGCATTCACATTGATCATAAAAAATTGTGACCACAAATTTTTTTCCTCATATTGATATTTCAACAAAATTGATGCACCATAGATTTAAGCTTACTTGAAGAACATCAAAATTATATCAATTGGAAATTAGAAATATTTTTTTAAATTGTCACAGTTTCAAAATAATATAAGGTGAAGCTAAAGGCATTTTTTAATAAAATGGTGCTATATAAAAAAAAATGGATGGATCCGATAGTCCCTTTCTTTTTTTGGGACATTTAGGCCATTTAAGGCAAACTCACACACACAACGCATACACATAGACTCGAACCCTGAACCTCTTAGTTGGAAGCCAATGCTCTCAACCAATAGGCCAAGGAGAGTTGTGTAATAGTCCCTTTCTATTATAACAACAGAACACATTTCCACATCATTAATCTTTTCTAAACAATGTGGTCATGGACCACTTCGCCAATGAGTTTGTAGCAGTTGCACGATCACCATCACAACAGCTAGCTATATATATATTTGTCCCGACCCGAAAAATTTTAGGTTAGGGTCAACCCATTTCTCATACAGGTTGGATTTGAATTTGAGATTATGATTTGTTTATAAAATCGGGTTGACCCGAAAACTCAAAATCAACTGAACTAACCTGTTTGCCACCCTGATGATCCGCCTTTTTGGCTCTGCAATGTGAGTCTTAAGTCGCACCGCAACTACGTATCTACCTGTCCAAACCCCTCTTGTGCCTGCTAGTAGACTCTGGATCAGACTCCGTTGAGTCTGCTCTCGGCTCTCCCCACACAACGCTCTTAGCTTTCACTATATATATATTGCTACGTCATGTAAAAATTATCTTGATCGGGCACGAATGTCAAGACAAAATCAAGTTGGAAACTTCAAAAATTAAATCCGGGAGCACGTGAACTCTGATTTCAGCGAGCTTACAATCAAACTGAGCGTCTCGGAAATACGAATCCAACGACACCAAATTCAACTCAATATGAGCCCAAATTGAGCACCCGAAGCGTTGTTGGAAAGTTCGTACCACAACTTGAGTTACCAAACGGTCTCCGATTTTAACGAGTTTATAGTCAAATCGAACGGTTCAACGAGACAAATCCAACGAGCCCAATATCGCCGAATTCCGACATCACTAAGACCTTCAAATATCTGACGAACGGTGTACGATCAAAGGATTCAATATCAGCCGTCCATTCAACCACTCCCTATTTGCCCTTGATCTCATGCCTATTTACGAGCTATGCCACTCCAGAAAACTATAAATAGAGCGCTCATTCTTCACAAGAGGGCACCCAAGCAACAGAGAAAAGCAGAAGAGAATAAGAGAAGGAGAATAAACTCCTCCTCGACCACCGCCGGATTTTTTTCCGCCGCCTGAATATGCCGGAATTCTGCCGGATATTCGAGAGACGCCATAATTCTGTAGAACTTTGTAACTTTGTTTCAATTTAGAAGAAATTAATTGTTATCTGATCGTCCTAACTTGTGGGACGAATCAGCATTTGTACTTCAAACAAACACTAGTGGAATTACTTCAACTGGGCGTAGTCCTATGGTTTTTTCCCTCTTTCGGGTTTTCCACATAAAAATCCTGTTGTTCCATTTTTATCTTCTGTTTGTGTGTGCTGAATATTCGTACAACGCTTGGACGTAAAATCACAAACTCTATCGCCGCGTATATTCTAGCCCGCAACATATATATATATATATCAACTTCTTTTTTTTTTGAGATTAATATATTATAAATTTTACATATGCAAAACTAATCTTAAAGCAAATCTTGTAATTTTTAAATCCATCATGATACACAAAAATTTTTTATATAAATATTTAAAAAGAAGACTTATTCTATTAAAAATGAGAAAAAAAACTATTATAATCGTAGATATTTTAGAGGTATCAAAACGGATAAACAGGTCAAATCCGCCGACCCTTTTTACACCACATTTTTATGCTTTGTTCTTTTCCTCGTGGTCCCGTTTTAAGGTTGTATCATAGTTTTTTCAGAATTTTAAGCAAATATAAGCCATAAACCCAATGCCTCATTATTGAGGTCAAAGCACCCAGCCATCATACGTAGGGGTGTAAATTTCGGGTCACGGGTCGGGTTCGGGTCGAATTCAGAACTGACTTGGGTTCAATCAGGTCGACCCTAACCCGACCCGGGTAGGTAAACGGATCGAATATTCGAACCCGGACCCGACCCGACACGGGAAGGAGACCAGCATATGCGAACCCGAACCTGACCCATTTTGAAAACGGATCGGGTCTAACCCGAAATTTCCGTGTCGAATTTTTGTGTCGTGTCAAATATTGAT